AATGACTCTATTTAAAGAATATTAAAAAGTTATCTTTCATAATGGTTTTTACGTTCCCGGACTAAGGAAAAACAAACACGTTTCGGCTCTTGCTATATTCTTTCTTTACATAAACGTTACATTTGTTTTTAACTTAATTTCTCACGTTACATTTTTTTCTATAACAAATTCCAAAAGTAAAGACAAAATGACAAAAGTCGAAACTTCGAGAGCGGCGCGTCGGTGGAGAAAACCAAACCGAGTGGTCGTCCGTTGACTTTTAAGGTCTTTGACGAGTGTTCAAAATCATAAAATGTGTGACTCAAATCTTATGAAAATGTTATTAACAATAATAATATATGAGATTGATTACCAGAACATACATAACGGTCATATATGAGATCATTTATGCCTCCTACCAAAAAAAAAAATGAGATCATTTATGCCCAATCAGAAAGATTAGCAAGCAAAACAAGATCCAAGAACCGACACAAAAACTCGACAAGACTTTTGGGATTTGAAACGAGAGAGAGATCATACTAAAAAATTTAAAGTACATTATTAAAATCTGTAAAATAAAATTTAAACATGAGTTTAAGATACTTCAGAAATTCTAACAAAGCTTTTTGTTTTTGTTTTTTGTATTTAGACAAACATAAAAGTTTTCTTTACTGCTCATTGTTTGGTTAGCTTTTTCTTCACCTCTAATGAAAGATTTGTGAGATACGAGAGAATTTGAAACTCAATCGTTGTAAGAGCTAAGCGCCGCGACAACTGATCCTGTTGTCGAAAATGCCGAGGAGATTTCAGGGTGATCTCTCCACGACGTATTGATCTTCAGCGACGGGTATAACCAAGACTTCACCGAACCAACAAAGGAACTCGGTTCAACATTGAGGATAGCTTCCCAATCGATCTGTAACCCTTTCGGGATGTTCTCAGTGAACTCCATGTTAGCAGCAAGCAGAAGTCCGAGTAATACTACAAATCCCGTTACTGCGGTCCCTCGAGTTAACGGCATAAAATTGTACCTGAGGAAAAAAATTATGATTGCAAATTAGATAGATACCAACAGGTTCTAAGTAATCCAATCGTATGTTATGTTGTCATTGTCATTTACCAGTAATATGTCATGCGTAAGATAGAGTCTCTAACGGTTTCTAGAGTGTCGAGGTCGATAGAACCGTAATTCTCTCCACAATAAGCATTGCATAAAGCCTGTGGATTCAGATGTACTTATGAGTTTGTTTTCTCAGGAAAAAACAAGTGTTTTGTGTAATGGTTAGGTCTTACCTCCCAAGCTGAGGTCATTTCTTCATCAAAATCGCTCCACCTCCCAGGTGTACACGGTGTTCGAATCGCAAAATCATACCCAAGCCTTCCCCTGATTTAAAACGAGAGAATTTTATTGAAGAAAGTGGTGATTATGGTTTGTGTAAAATCATATTAGAAAAAAAGTAAAGTTTTTACTCTTTTTGAATGCAGGTGATTCTAGTTCCTTCAAGGCGTTTCCTGGAGATGGTAACAAAGAAAGAAGCGAAATCAAGATAAGAGAAAATGTTCAGTGTAAAGAAAATTTGCGGGGTAACGGTACTAAACAACAAACCCACCCTTCGGATACGGTACTCTCGCACCAAGTAGCCACCCAGAAATCCTCACCAACAATTTTGTGTAGCTCAGCGCACGTTTCAGCGCACATTATCTGCATCTCGTGGGGAAATACAGTAAGAGAACAATGACAAGACGACAAATACAGTCATTCAAGCGAGAAGAACGAAATACTGACTTGTTGTATCTTCTCATCACTAGATAGATCGATAACTTCATCTTTCTTGTTGCGGACAGAGAGTTTATCCTTGATAATGCTCTTTGCAAGAGCCAGCGTTCTGAAGTATCACATGACATTGGATTGGTCCATGAAACGAGAAAGAGTCATAACCGAACACATGAAAAATATCTCAGGTCCTTTATCTACTTACCTTTCATAATTTGGGATATAGCGTACTACTTTCGCTTGTCCGAGTACCATCGGTGTATGAGATCCAAACCCAGAATTAAAATCTTCACTGCAAATATCATCCATAAACAATCTCAACCATCCAAGAAATCGACGAACTAAAGTTCATAAATTAAATTTAAATATAGACTCTCCCAAGGCTCATCGGATATCACCCACTTAAAAAGGCAGAAGAAAACGTACCTTTTGTACCTTAGTTTGTTAACCCACACAACTGGGTCACAAGGCTCTGAAATTTGTCTCCATCTGACAGCAGAGGAATAAACGTCTCGCCAAGACAACATCGAGCGGCCAGATGATCGATCTTCTAGTGAGGCATATCCAGTTGACGGTTCACTGGAACTGCTAGTACTACACCCAGCGCCACCTCTATTCTGGCTAAGCATGTTAATTCTCTCTCTCCTCCGGTTTTTTTTCCCATTTTTTGCCGTGCCTTTGTTTGAATTCCTCCACTCTATGCGCCAAGCTTTTGAAACCTTTTGAGCAATTTCTATTGCTGCCAATCCTGCCATACGGTGCTGGAAAACACGGAAACACAAATGATAAACGGAATATGATTATAATACGTTAGCCAGGAGAGGTTGAATTTCATGAATTATATACAGATGTAACAGGGACCAATAGAGCTGCTATGAAGTTTAAATGCACTCTAGATAAGAACAAAGTAACCGGAAAAGAATATTGAAAAGGTAGATAGCCCAAACTACTGCTTAAAGTCACCTGACGTCTGTTCGGTAAGAATCCGGGACAATCATATTGGATTTTCTTGCCAATTAAATCAGCAAAACGAAGAAGATTCGCCTTTGGTTTGGTTATTGCAAGATCTTGCTTTTTCAGTTTACCCTTCTTAAGGGATTCACGTAGGGGAGGTTGTCTGTAAACCTGTTCACATACACTTTTTGGGTGTAATCTTTTGCACCAGTACTCCTGAAAACCCACAGGAAAATAAAACTCACATTCACCAGATATACGAGTGGGGAAAAAGAACAGTGTGAAAGAAAAGGAACTCCGAGATTTGCTTTCTCACATCCACATACAGCACTTGAAAGCACGCATAGGCATCTCATATCTCAAAACCAACTAAAGTATACATTCCGACTTGGAATTGGTTGAGCTATGAGTATCAAAAACCAACTAAAGTATCAAGTTTGTCC